TGAAGAATGATATTGAGATTGACCTCCGGCTTCTGTGTATGCCAGAATTTAAAAAGCTTTTGAAGGTCAACCAAAGAAGAGATACAAATGGCAGTGAAAGACAAAAATGCTCCACAACGCATTTCAACAGCACACTACAAGTTAAAACCACAGTAACATGCCAGTGGACACTTATTAGAATAGCCCAACTCCAAATCCTGGATGTCATCATAAAGCAACAGGAGCTCTCACTTGTTGGTGGAAATACCAAACAGTGCAGCTACTTTGGAAAGTATTTTGGCAGTGCTCATAAAACTGGAGACGACCTTAATGTGAGATTTAGCAATTACTAGTTTCTGTATTCTTTGTTCCAGGGAGTGTTCAGTCATCCTAAAAACTGCCTAATCCTTAGCCTTCAGGAGTGGCTTTCAGAGGAAGTCAAGAGGGATGTATGGATGATATGGCCTGGAGGAGGAAGTAACACATCATATATAGTCATTCCATAGAGTTATAGTAAAGAAACTGGGAACACTGAATTAACGGTGTCCATGGTTTCTAGAGGGAAGAAACTTATATTGGGACTTATAGTAGAAGCAGAAAGGGGTGCTGCCCACTCATCTGCTGTCCTCACCTTGAAGAGCCGGCCCTACACTAGTTCCATTATTATCCATGCTCTTTTCCCATCTTGCATGGAAGCACACAGCATCGCTGGCAACCCACGCAGCTGAGTTTCAGTGTGCCTGTCCTTCCCATCTCAATTCCTCCTTGAAAGTTGTTAAAACAACAACGCAACACAGAAAACCAGAGCCTGAGCCAAAGCTCAGGGCAGAAGACCAGCAGCACATCTAAACAGTCTGTGATTCCTTCACTGAGTCTAGACACAAGATGATCCCCGTGGGGGCCACGGACAGCATTATGGTCTCTCCACATCCACAAAGCAACTCCAGTGGTAGCAACACAGATGGGCCCATTTTCTGAAGATGGCTCTTTTCTACATTCTGGAGGCGGGATCAAGTGAAGGATCAGAAGTAGAAGCCACTCGCGGTGACCCCAGCCTCCTCCTCTGGTCATAGTCAGACTATAGGAACCAGGAAGAGGTGCTTCACCTTCCTTGGAGAGGAGTTGTGTTTCAGGTCAGCTATGAAGGGGCATGAAGAGGGATTCAGAGCGGGGATGGGACTCCTCAGGTGTTGAGCAGAGAAGCCATGGGGAGCATGAAAGCCAGTGGGAAGGCCAAGCGTCCCCATCTGTATCCTTACGAAGCAGAAAGTCTGAACCAAACTGAGCCTGAGATGATACAAACAACTGGTGAGGGCGAGGTGCTGACCGCTGGGGTGAAGAGAGGCAGGAAGCACCGGCAGCCGTGCTCGCCTGACTCGCCTGGCTGAGACTGCGGCACATGGCGGAGGTGGGAAATATACAATAACTAAGGGTTAGCTCAGGCAGCGTTGGCTGAGAGGACACCTACTCCTCTGTGGCTCTCCTAAGTATTGCCTCAAGGCACATACATGTTCAGCTGCAAGGACCTGCCCAAAATAGGAAAGAGGCTGCCTGGTCTGGGACCCGCAGAGGTTGCACTGCTTCCTGGATCTCGCCTTCCCCTCACATCCTCTTTGTACTATCCTCCATGTCTGATTGGGTGGAGCGCAGGGGGTCTTGCAGAAGAGTGAGGGGAAGGATAGAAGGACTCAGAGAGGACAGGAGCTCCAGAGACCGACATAGCCAACTAAACAGAGCCCAGGGGTGGCCTTTGGAGGCTGAAGCACAAACCAAGGACCATGCATGGACTGGACCTAGGTCCCCTATACAGATGTAAGCCCATGGGCAGCTCGGTCCTCATATGGGTTTCCCTGGTAAAGGGAATGGGGGCTGACTCTAACATGGACTCTGTTGCCTCCTTTTTGATCACTTTCCTCTGGTGGGGCTACCTCAACAGGCTACACCCCATATGCTGGGGGTGTGTGTGTGAGTGGGTGCTCCTCTTCTTTGAGGAGTAGGGGAGGGGAGATAGGAGAAACAGAGAGGAAGGGCTGGACTAGCAAGAGAGAAGGGAAGGGGCTATGACCTAGATTAAAAATGAATAAATAAAAATTAAAGTTAAAAAGAAAAGAAAATACAAAAACCACAGCGGTGAACAAATTCATGATTCTTGTCTCAGAGTTGACCCATTATTCTGACAAATATGGTTGTCACTGAACCATCATGGGCAACTATTCAAGGAGAAGTCCCTTAGCTCTTGAAAATCATCTTGTGACCAAACTGAAAAACAAACAAGTCATCCCTAAAGGAAACCAATACCTGGAGAGGACAGGGATGGACATTAATGTGTGTGGGCAGGGCTGGGAGCTGTGCTGTTGTCTCTTCCTGCTGGGAAACAAGCCACAGACTGTGTGATAAGCTTGCTGTGAGGAGCCACTGTCATCTGAGCTGGCTTCTGACCTCTGTCCTCTCTCAGAACCTATGGGTGCCTGCACATTGCTGGGTAGCCTCTCTGCCCTTGGATCTCTCCTGGGCTCCTCCTCTGGGCACATCTGCTGTACCTGGACTGGGTGAAGGTTCCAGAGGCCTCACTTGTGGACGTGGGCCTGGGGGTGAGTGGGCTGGGCTGCTTTCATTCTCCTCCATGTGGCCTCTCCTTGCAGATGAGCCAGGAGCCTCCAGTGAGCTGCTGGGTTCCACAGTGTGGGGAGAGGTGTGTGAGGAGGAGGACCCTGGGAGGCTGGCTTACTGAGAGAACAGGCACAGTCTCCTCAGGTTGCCTGTGGCAGAGCTCTGGGCACTCTTAGCTGTGGGGCCTCTGCTGCTAGGTGGAGTTCCCGCTGAATGTCTGTGTGCAGACTCCTGGACCAGGTTTGAGGCCACAGGAGCTTCTGTTGACACTGTCCAGGTGTCTTTCAGGGGTCATTCTCTGCCACCCAAGGCATGACTTGCAGTGGGGCAGGCCTGATACAGAATGTTCCAGGGCCCTGAGGATGCCTGGACTTTGATCAGTTGCAAACAGGGAGCAGCACTTTAGTACACGGAACAGATCTACTGTCAAGGTCACACACAGGTGTCGTTGCTTTGATACACTGCTGCTTGGAACAATACCTGTCTTGGCCAGTGCATAACATTGGTGCCAAGGTCCCTGTCAGTAGCCACCCTTGAACATTATTGATCTGGGCAGTGGGGATTGCTTTTGCTTTGAACGGACTGAGAGTCTGTGGGTTGAGGCATCATTTCCTAATTATCTTTTGTATCTTACGTAAACCCTCACTTCCTAGGGATGTTCTTTAGACTAAATTGCCAGTATTTTATTGCCATGTCCCTTTCCTCTTGTCTTTAATAATATGCAGCATTCTTCCTACTTTCTTGTCTATGTCCCTGATGCCCAAGAGTTCTGGGAATAGAGGGAATCAGAACTTGGCTTATTACTGTCTAAGAGTGTCTGGATCGCGGTATTGAAACTGGAGATTGACAAATGCTTTGCCTTGTAACTTCCACCACTTCTCCCTTGTCACTCGTTATCTTTGAAACTGCTGACTAAAAAGTGAAAGGTCACTGACCTGATCCCCTCTGACTAGGCCTTAAATAAGAACTGTGTTTAAATGAGCAAAGGCCACACTACATGTGGCTTTTGGCTGGAGTGATACAACCTCTGACATCTTCATGTAACTCAGTGGTCAGCTAGAATTCTTTTTTTTTTAAATTTTTTATTAATTACACTTTATTCATTTTGTATCCCCCCATAAGCCCCTCCCTCCTCCCCTCCTGATACCACCCTCCCTCTCCTTTCTGCATGCATGCCACTCCCCACGTCCACTGATAGGGGAGGTTCTCCTCTCCTTTTTGATTTTAGTCTATCAGTTCTCATCAAAAGTGGCTGCATTGTCCTCTACTGTGTCCTGATAAGGCTGCTCCCCACTCAGGGGGAGGTGATCAACGAGCAGGCCAATCAGATTATGTCAGAGGCAGTCCCTCTTCCCATTACTATGTAACCCACTTGGACATTGAACTGCCATGGGCTACATCTGTGCAAGGGTTCTAGGTTATCTCCATGAATAGTCCTTGGTTGGAGTATGAGTCTCTGGGAAGTTCCCTGTGTTCAAATTTTCTTGTTCTGTTGCTCTCCTTGTGGAGATCCTGTCCTTTCCAGCTCTTACTATTTCCCACTTCTTACATAAAATTCCATTCATTCTGCCCATCAGTTGGCCATCAGGCTCAGCATCTGCTTTGATAGTCTGCAGGGCAGAGGCTTTCAGATGCCCTCTGTGGTAGGTTCCTTGTTTGTTTCCTGTTTTCTTCTTCTGGCTTTCAGAAGCCCTCTGTAGAAGGTTCCTAGGTTGTTTCTTGTTTTCTTCTTCTTCTGATGTCCATCCTCTTTGCCTTTCCGGATGGGGATTGACCGTTTTAGTTAGGGTCCTCTCTCTTACTTAGTTTCTTTAGATGCACATATTTTAGTGGGTTTGTCCTATGTTGTATGCTAAACAGAGAATTCTCTGTGGAGGAATATCGAATGGCAGAGAAGCACTTAAAGAAATGCTCAACCTCATTAGCTATTAGGGAAATGCAAATCAAAACAACCCTGAGATTTCACCTTACACCCATCAGAATGGCCAAGATCAAAAACTCAAGTGACAACACATGCTGGAGAGGATGTGGAGAAAGGTTGGTGGGAATGTAAACTTGTACAACCACTCTGAAAATCAATCTGGCACTTTCTCAGACAACTAGGAATAGCGCTTCCTCAAGATCCAGCCATACCACTCCTAGGCATATATCCAAAAGAGGCTCAAGTACACAAAAAGGACATTTGCTCAACCATGTTTGTAGCAGCTTTATTTGTAATAGCCGGAAGCTGGAAACAACCCAGATGCCCCTCAACTGAAGAACGGATGCAGAAATTGTGGTACATCTATACAATGGAATATTACTCAGCAATGAAAAATAAGGAAATCATGAAATTTGTAGGTAAATGGTGGGACCTGGAAAGGATCATCCTGATTGAGTTGTCCCAGAAGCAAAAAGACACACACAGTATATACTCACTCATATAGACATACAACATAGGACAAACCCACTAAAATATGTGCATCTAGAATTCTTATATCTTGGAGAATCAAGAAAATACATTATATTTTCTATGTATAATAAGCCCTTTACCAATGTCTCTACATCAGTGGTGATTCTGGGTCATCCATCATGCTGCTGGTTATCTTACAGTACGGTTTTCCATTTCTTGGACCTTTCTGAGTAGTGTATACTTCTCCTTTGGTAGCTGTTGACTTACCTTTTTGTCCCCTCTCACAGTTTTCAATTTTCAGCCTTCAGTTAATTCAGGCAGGCTTACTCTGGCCTGCTTCAATTTCATCTCTTCTTTTAAGTAAGAAAGGTATTTCTTTAGAATTATTTTTTGAAGATTTGCCTGAGTTTACTGAAGTACTATTTAGCTACACTAAAGTGTATATTTGAAATACACTGTTTTATTGCTTTTGCCCTATTTAACCAGAACATCTAAGGCAGCGTTTCAACCACCCACCTTGAAAGGACTTTGTGCCCTTTTTAGTCTGCTCCTCTCTCCATCCATCCCCACACAACCACTGGTACATTGTCGGCACATGGACAGTTTCTATTTTCTAGCTTGTATATAAATCATGGGCCATGTTCTCTTTTTGCCTGGCGCCTTTAAGTTTCTTTTCTGTTGTTGCTTTTGTTAACTAGTGTGTCTTTATTGCCCAACAATATCCCAGAAGTGTTTTTAGTTATTTTTATTGGACTACTTGTTTAATGTTACTATAATGAAATACCTGGAATGAAGCATTTGTGAAGACGAGATTTTTTGGCACATGGTTTTGGAGTCATCAGGAAGTAGAGTTGACATGGCTGTCTTCTCTGGCTAGGCCTCATGGCATCACAATAGCAGGAAGGGGGGGTAATCATGAGAATGGGCACAAAAGCAAAAGGAGGAGCCAGAATTTTTTTTTTTTTCCCATCAACATTCTTCAACAACTGACTCAGGGTCCTTCAAACATCCCCTTACTCCCTTTAACAGGTGGCACTTCTGTGACCTCCCAGGAAGTGCCACCCCAAGTTTAAAATTTCCCAACTCCCAATACCATCACTTCCCTGAGGGCTATGCTTTAACACTGGGACCGCTGCGGGACAAACTCAGATCAAGCCCAGACTCATGGTGACTTGAAGCTGCTCATCTTTGACTCTAACAACCCTCAACAACCCTACAAACACCCAAAGCATTTGGAGCTTTGTGCTTTCCTTTCCTTTACGTAAGTACCTGTAATTGTACGATGGCTGAGTTGTGCAGGGAATGCGCTTTTAACTTTCAAAGAACAGTCAAGCTAGTCTGCAAAGCAGCAGTACCAACGTCTGCTCCCAACCAGTGATATGTGGAAGTTTCATTTGTTCTGTATTCTCAGCAGTTTGATCATCGGTCATCTGAAACGTCCATCTTGGAATGTGTGCACTTGTCCAGGTGGCACACTTCTGTTTATCTACCTGTTGTAGTCATTTACCTCACCTCCCAGGGTATTCTTGTCAAGTGAGGCCAGCAATGCCTGGAAATGAAGCTGACAGACAGTCGGCAGCAGTTGTGGAGAGCGTCAGGTCAGCTGGACAATCCTTAGCGAGGATGCAGACCTGCTCGAGGTGAGGTGGAGTCCCAACTATTTCCCTGGGATGGAGGAAAACCCTTTTTTGTTTACGCTCCTCTAACTGGGGTTTACTTCACTTCTAACAGTGAGGTCCCTAACATCCCTAGCGTCTCACCCGGTGCTGGGCTGCCATTCTCATTTCACATCCCAGTGCTTTCTGCTGGCTTTCAAATCAGAAGCCTTGACAGACGGCTGCGTTCAGATCTGTTCTTTCAGAGGTCGCTAACAGCCCTGGTCAAAGTATCCAACTTATCACCAGGTCACTGCTGCACCGCAGGGTTTGTTTAACCAAATACTCCCGCTTCAGATATACATTGTAATGCACCGGGCTCTTTAATCTTTAACTAAACTGTCATTTCACAACGTTATCCAAAAACTGTTTTGGATAGCCGCCTGTACTTATTTCCTTCCGTTTTTTTTTTTTTTTGTGTGTGTGTGTGTGTGTGTGTGTGTGTGTGTGTGTGTGATTAGATTTAATACGTAACAAATCATGACCTTATTTGTAACTGGCAGCATACGTACAACCTTTGTGAACACACAGGAGGCAAGCCCTCTTCCAGGGATGCACGGTTCCTAGGCAGTACTGGATGAATGAGATCTTTTCAGAGTAGAGGAAAGGCCTAAAAATGGCAAGAGAATTGAACTAGATCCCATTTTATCCTGTCTAAAAAGTTTCAGGAACCCTGAATATGCAGGACAAGCGCACCTCTGAGGGAAGATTCCAGCCTGCCCCAGGCGGCCCTGGATGGCTTCACGTAGGACAAAATTAGAGCTTGATCACAGCTTAAGTTTCAGACAAGCAGACCGGCTCACAAGCTCGCTGGTGAGACATTCTTATTGCCCGCCCAGTCCCTAAGCCCCGCCCTGGATCCCGCTCCACCGGACCCACCAATGGTCCCGCCCCTGCCGCTCGCGCCCCGCCCCTACGTGCCGCGGGGAGGCGGGAGGAGCAGTTGGCCCGGAGGAGGCGTGGCCGTGCCGGCGGAGGCGCGGGCGGGCGGTGCGACCTGACTTCAGCTGTGACACCCTCGGAGAGCGGCGGCGGCGGCGGTGCGCGGCGCGGGGCTCCGGACGCGTTCCGCCGTCTCCCGCATCCCGAGTTGGGTGGCGGACTTGGCCTGGATCAACGCAGCGGCGACACCGCTAGTCCCGGTGCAGCTTCGGCCGCTGCACTGGCGCTCAGGAGCAACCCTGCCTGCCCCGGGAGAGCGGCTCTGAGAGTTTCCCCCGGAGAAAGAGCCGGGACGCGCGCATAGAGCCACAGGGGACCCGGAGCCGACCCCAGCAGAGCGGCGGAGAGGTGGGACGCGGGGATCGGAGGGCCGGGGGTGGTTCCCCGAGCTTCTGCTCGGTGTCTGCCTACAAGCTCAGCTCAGACTTTCCAAGTTGCAGCGACTTGAGCGCAGAAGGGGCTTCGTCTTGTCTGTCTGCAGGAGCCCCTGTGAGCGTGTCCCAAGTGAGGAGGTGGCCCCAGCGTTGTCAGAGCAGAGAGGCATGAGGCTAGTGGGGATAGCCCTCTTCCTTTTTTGGACCCAGCGTGATAAATAATCCGAGGAAAACCCACAAGGAGGAAGCCGTTCTGTGTCTGCGTTTTCTGAAGTTGACCTGTCCCCCACTAGTTAGGAATTTACAACACTACGGGAGTGCAAAGGGTTGACTGATTAATTTTAATTAATTTCCATGTCAATTTCTAGGCGGCCCAGCAAAAGGTAATTCTGATGGAAATCATGGAAGATTTAATGTTTGTCTGCAGCAACTTTCTCGACCCCTAAGTCCTGCAACCTCCCGTTCTTTTGTGCTTATAAAGACCCCCGGGCTTCTTTATCCAGAGCTGTTCTGTGTTGGATGGCCATGGGGAGCACCCTGGGCTGCCATCGCTCTATCCCCAGAGACCCCTCGGACCTGTCCCATAACCGCAAATTCAGTGCAGCCTGCAACTTCAGCAACATCCTAGTGAATCAGGAGCGGCTGAACATCAACACGGCCACTGAGGAGGAACTGATGACCTTGCCTGGGGTGACACGTGCAGTGGCCCGAAGCATCGTGGAGTACCGAGAGTATATTGGCGGCTTCAAGAAGGTGGAAGACCTAGCGCTGGTCAGTGGCGTAGGCGCCACCAAATTGGAACAGGTCAAGTTTGAGATCTGCGTGAGCAGCAAGGGTAACTCTGCTCAGCACTCTCCCAGTTCCCTGAGGCGGGATCTGCTGGCTGAGCAGCAGCCTTATCACCTGGCCACCGCTGTACCCCTCACTCCACGAGTCAATATCAACACAGCCACCCTTGCTCAGCTCATGAGTGTCCGGGGCCTCACCGAGAAGATGGCGGTTAGCATCGTGGACTACCGCCGGGAACATGGGCCTTTTCGCAGTGTCGAGGACCTGGTGAGGATGGATGGAATCAATGCAGCCTTCCTGGATAGAATAAGACACCAGGTGTTTGCAGAGAGGTCCAGGCCCCCATCTACCCACACCAATGGAGGTCTTACCTTTACTGCCAAACCTCATCCTAGTCCCACGTCTCTGAGCCTGCAGAGCGAGGACTTGGACCTGCCACCAGGGGGCCCCACGCAGATTATCTCCATGAGGCCCTCTGTGGAGGCCTTTGGAGGTATGAGGGATGGGCGACTCGTGTTTAGGCTGGCCACCTGGAACTTGCAGGGTTGCTCTGTGGAGAAGGCCAATAACCCGGGGGTCCGAGAGGTGGTGTGCATGACGCTTCTGGAAAACAGGTGAGGACAGTAACCACCAAGGGTGCTGGGAGTGAAGGCATGGAGGCCTGGCCTCATCCAAGGATACAAATGAGTGGATCCTTTGGGGTGAGGGAGAGGAAAGAGCTTTTAGTCCATGCTCCTGAGGTTTCAGCCAGTATTGTCACCTAGAGCTGATTACTCAGTGCTGGACCCCCTCCTGAGTTGTGGCTGTGTGAGTGTGGGTTCTGCTTTGTAGTAGGTCTTTGGCTCACAGGGCTTCACGGAGTTTGAATCAGGGACTCAGCGTGGGAACTGAGGCATAGTTTTGCATGACAGAAAAACCTGAGGGTTTTTTTTTCCCCCCAAGTTTTCCTGTGTAGCCCTGACTGTCCTGTAGACCAGGTTGGCCTTGAACTAAGAGAGCCACGTGCCTCTGCCTTCTGAGTGCTGGGATTAAAGGTGTGCAGTACCACTGCCCTGCTAAAAACCTGAGTTTTTAAAAGTTACAATAACGGGAAGGAAAGTAATTTTTTTCCCTTCATATACATCTATTTGCATGGACAGAATCATAGTATTTGAAAACACCCACATTGTATTTGCCAGGGAGCTGTGAACAAAGCATTTAGCATCCTATTCCTTGTTGAACTTAACTTGGCTTTTAGCATGCTCCTCCTCCTTTTCCACAGCCAGAAAAGGCCAGTTTGGTTGTAGATACTGGCGGATTGTTCCTTCTGAACTGAAGGAGAAAGGACTGGCAGGTCCAGCCAATGGGAGAGCATGTTTCCAATGTTTGTAGGAACATGTGCTAACTCCCTACACAGCACAGCAGTGCATCAGGGCTGGAACTCCTGCTGTTTGTAAAATGATGTGCATTGTAATGCCGTTAGCGCCTTACCGTGTCGGAATTCCTCAGATCCTGATCTGCAGGGATCTGGGGTGCAATCCATGCTGGTTGTTCCTTGCCGCCCTCCTTTGAGGAGGTTGACCTGCTTGGCAAGGTGGTTTCTTGGTGTTTGGAAGTGAGGAATGAACTCTCAGGGTAGAACTTCGGAATTGTGGCAGGTCAACAGTACAGATTAGTGAGGAGGAAAGCGGGCTACAATGTTTTCTTGGCACTGTCCCATGGTACGTTCTCATTGCCGAGGAGAGAGAGGACTGCACAACGGATCAGAGAAAGGGACCAGGAGACCACTGAGGTCTCGTCTCCCTGCTGTGTTGCATTGCCTGTTTGTCATCCGAACTCATTCGTTCTGCAAACTCACCTTCTTCGTAGCCCTGTAGACACATTGGGATGGGCTTGGTGATTGTGCTCCTGCACAGCTGCTGCGGGCACAGCAGCATGCTTGCTTAATTCCCATCAGGGGGTTTCTTACGGCCCAGTGTAAAGAGAAGAACGAGGCAGAATCTGAAGTCTCTCAGTCTGGGCGATCTCATGGGTAGTCCTTGTCCATTTATTCCGTCAGTGTGACCCTAGACTGGTACCATCAACCAGTGCCTAAGAAGCTCTGGGGTCAAAGAAGGTCACCACCTCTCCTGGTGCTTCTGGTAAACTCCAGAACTTGAGATGCACCCTGTTCTTTGCTGAGCCATCTCAGTCCTGCCTAGTTTCCTTTTAAAGACCCTCCCCTTGAATTGTCTTCTGTGACTTTGTGTGGAGCGTTTCTGTAACTTTGTTGTTACTTTATTCCTGCCTTTGACTGTTCCTGGCCTCTCTGAAGTCATTTGCTCCCATAGCATTCAGTCTGGGCAGGGATTAAGGGCGTTATTGGTTTCTAGGAGGTATGAATGTGGAGAGTGGAAGAAGGGACTGCAGTCCTGGCTACTTGGGAGCTACTCAGGCAGCTGGCCTGGCGGTGGGTAAAGGATGGAATCGCCAGAGCCTGCCCTGAGAAGAGCAGTAACGATTCTTGTCCAGCATGGAGTCCCTGGGATCTTGTTCTTTTGGCTCTTTGGATTTCTTAGAAGAATACCGACAACATTTAGCTTCTGACTTCAGGCAGGTTTGCCCAAACCCAACGAAGTGTAGAAGGGAACTCGTGTAATAAAGCAGTGGGGAGGTGACCTCCATCTCTGCTGTGTCCTCACACTATGCAAACGAAGATGTCCTATGAGTTGGTGACTCCTTTGGCCTGATCACAATTCAGTCAGTAGTCTGAGGAATCCTAGCATATAGTTAGTGTCTGGTAAAACCTAAGTAAGAGGCTTAGCGCCTGATCCAGGCAAAGCTGGAGTGGGATCATTTGCCTGTGTGACTGTCCTAGGGTACCAGAAGCTGCCCCAGAGTCCTTGAGGACAGGAGGCAGTGCCAGAGTGCCAAGAGCTGTGGTCTCACACTGATTCACAGAAGTTTCTCAACATCCCAGTAGCTCCCTTTGTTAATAACAGGAAGCGTATTTGGTGTGAGCATGTGTGGATCATGTAGATTTCCAGGTGCTGGCTCTTATTTTCATAGGTGTATACTTGTACTAGAAGAGTGTCTGTGTTTAGGGTGTGCCTTTGCATTTTTCTGACAGCTTCCACACCCATTTGATCTCCCCAGGAACTATAAAAAGTAGGGAATATTTGCTTGTTTTAGAGATTCTCCATCTTTGAGTGAGAAAGCAGGAGAAAGGAGTTAAACCTGCCTCTGGAACAGCTCCTTTGTGACTCACCTGGGACAAGGACCGAGACCAGTTGACTATACCCTACTCCTCACAAGTGTGCTGCTTGCTTAGGCACAGCATCTCTACACTGCTTCTTGGCTAGTGTCCCACACTGTGTGAACCAAAGGTGTCTGCCACCTCCTTTGCCAGTCACAGACATTAAGTCCATTAGAAAGCAAGCCTTGGGCAGCTTTGTAGAGGGAATTTCCTGTCTCTTAGCTTCTTTTCTGTGGGTGCTGCTCATCAAGTGTGTGCTTTTTCTTAGAGGAAATGTACCTGTGTGGGGATTGGAGTCTACTGAGCTGGCACGCTGCTGATTCAATAGAAGGACACATCTGAGTTATAAGGAGCCATGTTTTGCATGTGAACCCTAAGGCAGGACCTCCCAGAGCTAATTCCAATCACCAGGAACCTTCTGGGGACACCACGTTATGGCATGTGGTGTCTATGCAGGGACGGCTTCATCAGATTGATTTACCAAACCTTGTTCTTAGGCAGTGCTCTTCCTCCTTCAGTGTTTATGGAGCAAGAATGAAAGAAAATGCTTCTGCTGAAATGCAAAATGCGGTGACAGTCAGCTTGAGCAATGGTCCTTCAGCGTTTGTTTATTTATTGCTGAGTAATCATTCTAGCTTAAAGCATCCCTTTGGATTCTGAAGATAAACGTGGGGAGAGCTGACAGGTAATCTCCAAAAAAAATAAAGAGATTTGCCTTCCCAGTTGCCTGTTTCCCTCATATTCTATATCAGAAGGAAACTCCAAGTGTCAAAGTAGTTAGCTTTTTAATGGTTTTAATCTTATTTCTTGCCAAGTCCTCATTGGCAAAACACAGGTAATGGCTGGCAATAGGGACAGTTATGAAAAAAACAAAACAAAACCCACCAACAACAGATTTTAGTCTGTCAGACTAGATTAGTGGAATCAACATAGACAGGATTCATTTTGTCTTTCAGTTCATTCATTAAAAAATTTGTATTGAATGTACATTTGATGTGTACGTGTATAAACACAGTTCAGGGATCAGCTCGGCTCTCCTCCATGCAGAATTAAGTACCTGTCAGTCAGTTTGTATGGCTCAATGTTGAAACAGTGTGGTGAACCCAGATTTTTTTGCTAACCCACAGAGACTGATTTGGTATTGTATTTCTTTCCATCTGAATAACTGGCTCATGTTGGGGAATTAAAAAGTAGGAAGATGAACCAAATATAATATCCAGGGGGCAAAACCTCTCAGCAATCCTCTTAAAGTAGACATGGTGACATCTCTTTTGATAGCTGTGGAAACAGAGACTCTGAGGGTTGAGATAACAACGTAGTGGCCTTAAGAAATATAGATAGGCTGAGCAGGGAGGCAGAGACAGGCACATCTCTGTGAGTTCGAGGCCATCTTGGTCTACAAAGTGAGTCCAGGACAAGCAAGGCTACACAAAGAAACCCTGTCTTATAAAAAAAGAAAGGAAGAAAGGAAGAAAGAAATAAATATAGATAGATAGATAGACAGATTCTGGAGCCAGGATTTGAAGCTAGGCATTTGTCTGATTTCAAAGTCAGGACTGAGTGCATATTTTACCAAATTCAATATGTCCTTCCATGTTCTGTTTCTGACCCTAGCCGGTCCATAGTTCAGTTTCCTCCCTGTCTTGGATCAATCATCAGGGCTTTGTAAGAAGCATGGCTTCACCCAGATCCCTGAAACAGTCCCAGCCTCAGGAGGCCTCCGTGCCTTTCCTGTTTTTGTTCCTCCAAAGGATGGGGTGGTAGCCAGATGTGTTGAGCAAATTCAGAGGACGCCAAGGCCTCTCTTCTTGGCCTTAACTGTGAGTTTGAGACCTTGGGCTCCCCTCCAAGGTGGAGTTCCGGTTTGCAGAGCCAAGGAATTCTGGGTCATTTCCAGACAGAAAGGTGGTCCGCATGAAGACTGTTGTGCCTTTGTAAGAGAAGGTGGGGTGCGTAAAGGGAGGTCTCGGTGTGGGCATCACTCGGGGTTTGTTTCACAGAAAGGAAAGGGGTTATGTTTGTTTTTTAAAAAGGCTGAGTTTCTTTGGGGTCTAATGTCAAGGTCCTGTGGAGGTTTGATACTGTTGATTTTTCCAGGTGATTAAACATTCAGTCAGGCAATTTTTTTTTTTTTTTTTCTGGGTCTGAGGCTGTTTCAGGCAAAGCCAGTGCTTTCATTTAACTTCCCTCTGGATAGGAAGATAAGCATGTCAGCACACAGGTACCTAGTGACAGGTAGGTGCAAAGACTGAGGATGATGGAGATGAGGCAAAGAGAAGCTTGTTTAGATAAATGGAAATCAGGGAAGGTCTTGTCCAGATGCTGGATATATGGCAAGATATCCAGATATGGAAAATCTGGGGGTGGAGGTAGAGGCTAGTGAGATGAATTCTTGTCACA